TGTAGTAGGTTTTGAGGTCTGGCAGTGTGAGACCTCCTACTTTGTAGAACTTTAGACTCTTGTAACTTGTCTGTTTGTTTGTCTAACAGTGTGTTTGAGTTTTAATAACTTTCTTTTAGACATGTGTTTTTCCACGTGCTAGCAAGCAAGAGTGGGAGTGGAGTTCTCAATTACTGACTGGACAAGGGAGGTGCTTTGCCAAGTTTCTGGGTGGTGTTCCAACGACCAGGGAAGTCACACCCTGACTTAGAGAAGTGATTCTCTCTGTTGTGTTTTTGAGTATCCATACTCAATACACCTTTTGCTTGCCCTCTTAAACCTGTTGTGATCATTGACTCTTTGCAACAGAGGGCAAGGAAGGACCTTGTTTTCCTACAACAATGGCACATAACAACAACAAATCAAAGATGCTAAATGACTGACATGTTATATTTACACAGGTACCTAAGAGTTAAACATTGCAGGTGGCCTTTCTTGCCATTATGATATGGAGGACTTGACAACAGATGGTTTGTAACACCAAGTATGATTGACACTAATTATCATCTTATAGATGAGTCCTGGGGAGCTCTGGTAGCATAGTGCCTAAGGTACTTGACTGCTACCCAGAAGTCTTGTGGTTCAAACCCACCAGCCACTCCTCAGAAGGAAGGTTGGGCAATCTACTTCCATAGTGATACTGCCTCAGAAACCCAAGGAGGGGTCGCTATGAGTCGAGTCCGACTCGACGGCACATAACAACAACAGATGAGTCCTGGTTGCACAGTGGTTAAAGTGCTCAGCTGCCAACCTAAAGGTTGGCAGTTTGAACCCACAAGCCACTCCACAGGACAAAGATATGACAGTTTCCTTCTGTAAAGATTACAGCCTTGGAAACACTATGGAGCAGTTCTACTCTATCCCATAGAGTCACTATGATCAGGAACAGACTTAACTATAGTGGATTTAGTTTTTTGGATTTGTTCATTTTATAGAAAACCCGAGATGTGCTCACTTTAGTTTTTGAAATTAAAAAAAAAATGTAATATTAACACAATTGAAATTATGGAGTTTACAAATATGCACAAGATTACAGACATTTACTGGTGATAAATAAGGAGACCTGGTGGTGCAATGGCTAGAACACCTGACTGTTAACCAACTGAAAGGTTGGCAGTTCCAACCCACCCATTGCTCTCAGGGAGGAAGATGTAGCAGTCTGCTTTCTAAAGATTTATAGCCTTGGAAACCCTATGGGGCAGTTCTCCTCTGCCCTATGACTCCACAGCAACAGGTGTGGTTTGGTTTTAGTCTTAACTGTTTCCAAAGTGAGCGTCCTTGCCAAGTGAGGAGTCACCCCAGAAAAGATCCCATTTATACAAATGATATTCCTAAATCAGAGACTATGAATAAGAAAGGTAAAAGAAGAATTGATGCATTTGAATTATGGTGTTGGCAAAGAATACTGAATATACCTTGGACTGTCAGAAGAATGAACAAATGCGTCTTGAAAGAAGTACAGCCAGAATGCTCCTTGGAAGCAAAGATGAGGAGACTTTACCTCAAGAACTTTGGTCATGTTATCAGGAGGGACCAGTCCCTGGAGAAGGATATTATGCTTGGTAAAGTAGAGGATCAGTGAAAAAGAGGAAGACCCTCAACAAGATGGATGGACACTGCCACAACGGGTTCAAACATAGCAACGACCGTGACAATTGCACAGGACCAGGCAGTGTTTTGTTCTGTTGTCGGAACTGACTGGATGGTACCTGGTGGTTGTTAGGTGGTGGTGAGTTCGTTCCAATTCACAGTGACCAATGCACAACAGAAAGAAACACTACTTCATGCATCTCGTGGAGCAGTTTCCTAGTTTTTAATACTTTACCAAGCCTGATTCCTCCAGGGACTGAGCCTGCCTGGTAACATGACCAAAGTACTTGAGGCAGAAGTCTCACATCCTTGCTTCCAAGGAGCATCTTCCAAGACACATGTGTTCATTCTTCTGGCAGTGCATGGTGTATTCAATATTCTTCCCCAACACCATAATGGTGTAGAAGGCTGAAGGGGCCCCTCACTGAAAATTACAGAACTTTAACAAACTAACAACTATGATTAAAAAGAAAACAAACAACAACAACAAAAAAAAAAAAACCTCACTGCCATTGAGTCAGATTCTACTCATAGTGACCCCTCCTTGGATTTCCAAGGACGTATCACTATGGAAATAAATTGCCCAGTCTTCCTTCCGAGGAGTGACTGGTGGGTTTGAACCGTCATCCTTCTGGTTAGTAGTCAAATGCCTTAGGCACTACACCACCAGAGCTCCCTTTGTTGTTGTTGTATGCCGTCCAGTCGGCCCTGACTCATAGCGACCCCTCCTTGGGTTTCCGAGGCAGTATCACTACGGAAGTAGGATTGCCCAACCTTCCTTCCGAGGAGTGACTGGTGGGTTTGAACCGCCAGTCTTCTAGTTAGCAGTCAAGTGCCTTAGGCACTATGCTACCAGAGCTCCTATTAGTATGATTAAAGTAGTCATTAATCATAGTGACTAACTTGCTATTTTCCCCTCCTTTTTGCTCTCTTTTTAGTAAATAGAATAGCCAACCTCTTTACGGATGCTGAGTTCAGATTTGTTGTTTTCAATTATGTATTCTAAGCATAACCCTCTTCCACGACTGGTTTCAGTTGAGAACTGTAACCTATGAACCCAGACGACCCTAGGAAGACAGATGCCGAGTCTGGAGCAACCAGGAAAGAACAAAGACATTCCTGGCAATCCAAAGGATCTTCAACCCCCTTCCCATCTCCCTAAATAATCATGTGTACCCCTTTGCTCCAGAAGACAGACCTTTTAGAGAAGTGATTCTCTCTGTTGTGTTCTTGAGTATCCATACTCAGTACACCTTTGGCTCTTTGCAACAGAGGGCAAGGAATGACCTTGTTTTCCTACAACTATGGCACGTAACAACAACAAATCAAAGATGCTAAATGATTGACATGTTATATTTACACGGCTACATAACAGTTAAACATTGCAGATCACAGAGTGTACTCAGTGACTGCCTAAAAATGTTTCCTAAAGACCACTGCAAAAAAAAAAAAAAAGACATTTGAAACCAGTGGAAATAACTTACAACACACCGCACAGTAACATTGTTGTTGTTGTTGTTATGTGCCGTCGAGTCGGCCCGACTCATAGCGACCCCTCCTTGGGTTTCCGAGGCAGTATCACTACGGAAGTAGGATTGCCCAACCTTCCTTCCGAGGAGTGGCTGGTGGGTTTGA